CAATTCATAGGAACATAAATACAGATAACCAATAAATATATAAAAATATACCCTCCTCACACATAATCAAAGAGATACTTTAAAAAAGATTTATTAGAATGTCAAATATTTAGGTGTTTGACAGTATCCAATATTGGTGAGGGTACAGGGAAACAGGTGTTCTCATACCATGTTGGGAGCAGTATAAATTGTTATTGAATTTTTGAAAGTCAATTTACAACAACTATCAAAATTTAAGACATGCACACCCCTTGATTCTGCAATTCCACTTCTAGAAATTTACCTTAAATACTTACTCATGCAAATGAACAAAGATTACATGTACAGAAATCTTCAGGTTTTTATGTATAGGTTTTTGTTTGGACATAGTTTCCATTTCTTTGGGATAAATGCTCAGTAATGGGACTGCTGCTTAATTTTTTAAGAAATTGCCAAACGATTTTCCAGAATGGCTGTACCATTTTCCATTCCCACTGGCAAATCATGAATGACCCATTTTCATTGTGTCCTTTCCCAAATTTAGTATTCTTGCTATTTTTTTGATCTTTAAAAAATTTTCCCCACCTTAAAAAAACATCAAAGTCCATAGTTTATACTAGGATTCACTCTTGGTGTTATACATTCTGTGGATTTTGACAAATGTATAGTGACCAGTATAATGGCATGTACCCGCCATCATGGTGTTTCTTACTGTTTTTAATTTTAGCCATTCTAGTAAGTGTGTAGTGATCTCACTGCAGTTTTAATTTGCCTTTCCCTGATGGCTAATAATGTTGAAAACTTTTTTCATGTCTTTATTTGCCATCCGTATATAATAGGATATAGGATATTCATGAAATATCTTTCATGTTTGTTGCCCATTTTCTAGTTGGATTTTTGTTTGTTTTACTGTTTCATTTTGAGAATTTGTTGAATAATCTAAACATAAATTCTTCATCAGATGTGTGGTTTGCTAATATTTTCTCCCGGTCTGTTGGGGGACTCATGGAGGGCCGGTGTCACAGGTTGGTAAAAGAATTTACCAAAGGCACGGAGAAATTTAAGAGCAAAGGAAAGTTTAATAGGTTCTCTGCCACAGGCAGCTGTGAGCCACACAGACAAGAAGTGCCTGTGTGTCCACCGAGTGTGAACGTGCAGGGTCTTTTATTGAGGAAGGGGCTGGGAACACAAAAGGCTAGGGGAACAGGTTTCTGATTGGCTATATGTGAGGTAAGGGGCTTTGGTACATGGGAGGATAGTGGATTTATGACTCCAGTAAGATGGAGACATGGGCTGACACAGACAAGGTAATGGAATTTATGATTCGGATAAGGGGGAGACGTGGGCTTGGACAAGTTAGCCTGAGCTACAGCGAGGCTAGTCATTCCCCAGGGCTGTTAATTCTGTGAAGGCAGACACCCGTCAGGACTTTATCTTCTGAAGAGGAGCAATCAGATACCTAAGGGCTGGAAGTTTGGGGGACTGCAGGGCCTCAGCAGGCACCAGTTGGCACTGCACAGTCTCTAGCTCTGAACAGGGTCTCTGACAGAGCAAAAGTTTTCATCGTGGTGAGGTCTCATTTACCATCCTTTTCTGGAATGGCTCAGGCCTTTGGTGTCATGTGTAAGAAATCTTTGCCTGGCTCTCAGTCCCTGTATTAGTTTCCCAGGGTTGCCATAACAATGCACCACAAGCTCGATGACTTAAAGAAGAAAAACTTATTTTCACCTCCTACTGTGGCAGAATATTTAATTTTCAGGTATGTTCTTTCCTGTTATCTCTCTAAATATAATAATTATACTTATATTTTTAAGTTTTACCCCTCTCCTTTTTTTTCTTATGCTATTAGTTGGGTGTAAATTGGGTGTAAATTCTTCTATTCATTAAAGTTGTGGCCTATGTCAGGTCCCGTCTGTTGGTACTTAGCCTTATATCCACTTTTCTGTATCCCCTTTGTATTCCTGAAGCTGGGTGTCTCAAATGACCTATCCTAGACTCCCTTGCTGGATCAGTTCCAGTTAGACTCCACAAATGGGTGGCAATCATGCAAGACTGAAGGGAGAGAAAGGGAGAAGCTACGGTGTTTCAGGCTGTGCCCCTAGGCAGTGTCAGTGGCCAGGCTCCTTCTCAGGGCAGTTGTGGAGGCTCCAGCAGCACAGGCAGGGAGTGCAGGTGCACTGCCCAGGGGCAGCAGCCACTTCCTGATCTCTGGGCAATGCCATCTCCCTCCCTTTGCTTCTCCAGCCTTTCCAAAGTGATTGTGGGAAATTCCTTGACTAGTTACAGTATTTTGATATGAGGAGTGGTCCAACATCACAGGCTCTCAAAGAAACAAGTCTAGGGTTGCTTATGTGAACGGGCCTCCCTCCCAGTGGAAGCGGATTATTGTTAGTCCAAAGTACGATACTTAAAATTAGTATCTGAGTTTGCCTTGGATGGAGTACAATTTTAGCCAAGACTTTGGAAGAAATAAAAGAATTTTTTTTCCATTTCTAGGGATTTGGGGACGGAGTGGAAGGCTGCAGCATGTGCTTCCTCTCTTGTCTTGCTCCGATCTTCTGGATTATTTTTCAAAAACAGTGATTATGTGTAGTTATTTTGATTGAGATTTTTAAAAAAAAAACCACAATTAGGCAAGAATATGGCAATACTTAACCATACTTATGGGAACCAAATCACGTGACCTGCTGTGTCAATATCCCAGTTCACATGCTGAACAGGGAGTGAACAGTAGCCATGATACCCTGGAGAAAATGATCACATTTGATTATTCTACTTGAGGTAGTAACAGTTCTGTTTTGGGAAAAAGACTAGCCTCAGGGCATCACTGGCTGAATGTTTTTCAGTTGTAGTCTCTAAACCAGTATGCAGCTGAATTGCCTCTCTCCACAAGACGGCCTTTGTGGTGAATGGCTGATTTCTTGAGGCCTCAAAATGTCACTGGCTGACAGCCAGACCAGCACAGTGTTAGTGTGATTTGGGGGCTAAAGTCATTCTATCTTGTGCAATAGTTAAAGCCTGCTGTAACCAGCTGTATTCCCATAAGATCAGAAAGATTGGAATAAAGATACTTTTTATGCCAACCCCAAAGCTGCCCTGAAGTATGTGCATGAATCTTAGGGTCTTATTAGGAGGGGTGAGGGACATAACATTCTAGAAAGCATATGTGTTTTGTTGTTGAACAGACTAGGTTCGAATCTTGGATCTCTGTCCTGGATAAGTCACTTACTTCACTGAACTCCAGACACTTGATTTGTAAAAAAGGAGATAGCCTCAGCTGTCTCCAAGGGAAGATTAAATATGATCACTCCCTTATTTTTGATTCAGCATTTATCGTTGCCCATCTTGTCCCAGATCTTATTTTGGGGCTTGGGGATAAAACATGGAACAGGCAAGGCATGGCTCTCATGAAATTTATGTTCTAGAAAGGAGAGATAGCAACACAAACCCCAACTAAATAAGAAATGCCACAGTAAAAATAAAGCACTGATGTAATTGAGAGTTGCTGCAGTTTCTCTGTCTTTTGTCCTCAGTCCAGTCTATCCAGTAAACTATCTAGAACGTCATTTTCATAAGTCCCTCACCTAAGCCATTGAGCCCTTGGAAAGAGACTCACGATGGCTCCAATCTCAAAGGCCTACCTACTGTGACTTCTCTAGAAATACTTGCATAATAACAGGAGACCAAGGCCTTTGCTTAGACTTTTACTTTACTTTGCTGGTAGATTTTTAGGCTCTGTGTGGCCAGTAGAGGTGGTATTCAGGGATAGGCAGATACTTGCTCAGCCTGAGAACATTCTGTTTCTGAATGTCTTATAGGAGTTGGTGCCGGCATCCAAAGCCCTTGCTGGGGTCATGATTTAATGCATCAGAACTCGTGGCTTGCAGAAACTGGCTGTGATCCTGCCCTTCAAAAACAGAATGTGGGTTTGCTATGAAAGAGTCCAGGGTGTGAATATTGCCATTTTAAGCCTAAGCCTTCTAGGAACACCCATGTGGGTTACAACCTCTGGTCCTCCATGCTGCTCCCAGCCCAGAGCAGGGTTCACCAATAGGTGGATCAGGCATATATTTAAGGTGCTGGCAAAATGAGGACTCATACATACATACAAAGGTAGTTTTCAAAAACTTATCCAAAACTTTGGAACCAGAAAAACCTTGAAAGATGGTATTCTATTATCCTATTTAATATGTTTTCTGATATATTGACTCTGAATCACACACAGGTGGGGACTCCAAACTCATTTGGAATACAGGGACTTTAAAGTTCTTAATCTGGCCCTGACCCCAGAAATATCCCCTCACCTCAGTTCTCAAAATTAACATACAAAGTCTTTCTCTAATCTGGGGTTCAGGCCAAAAAGCAGAGGATGTGTTGTATTTCTTTTTTTAAATTGAAGTACAGTTTACAGTATTGTGTCAATTTCTGGTGTACAGCATAGTGTTTCAGTCATACATATACATACATATGTTCCTTTTCATTATAGGTTACTACAGGATATTGAATATAGTTCCCTGTGCTATACAGTATAAACTTGTTGTTCACCTATTTTATATATAGTAGTTAATATCTGCAAATCTCAAACTCCCAGTCCCTGGGATTTGGATTTATCCCTTGCCATTGTATTTCTTTCTATATTGCAGCTCCCACTGACTGTTCCCCCTTCTGAAAGGCCAATGGCTAAACCACACCATATCACATTTCATCGTGCACAGTGAGCAGGAGTGTGATGGTGGTAATTGGTGCCCCAGACTTATTAGGGCAAATGGGGAGGGGGAGGTCTCTTGGACCAGTGGGCAATTCATTTTACATGAGGAAATATCTTGTTTTCCTCCTTCTGGTCTTGACCCTCGGCCTTGTCTTCTGTTGCTGTTGTAAGAGGCAAAACTAAGGGCCAAGGTCTAGAAACATGAGTGTTGTGACTGAAGCCCCACTTGGCTTCCCAAGACCAAACTGGGTTGCACCAGGTTACGCGGGGCGGAGACCTGAGGCATCTGCCAGGGGCCAGGGCCCGCCCATTGGTCTCTGGCGCTCATTGTGCTGGCCAATCAGAAGGGATAACTGTGGGGCGGGGACTGCCTGTCTCCATGAATACCAGCTGCTGAGGCTGGGCCATCTCCTCCTTGCCTCCATTCCTGACGGCAGTCTGGGGCTCCGAGTCCACAACTGAGGGTAAGGACAATTGATTCAAATTCTAGGCTGGAGGTGAAGATGGCTGCTCTGCAATGGAGCCTCTGGCTGGGATGTGCCCGCGCTTTCCCGTTGTAGCAGGGTGGGGAGGGATACAGTCAAAACCCTGGTGGGGGCAGCACTGGCGGAGGCACACAGGCCTCCGGCTTCTTCCTTGTTGCTCCCACAGCTCCAACAGAAAAGGGACTGTCCCTTCTGGTCAGAATGCCTGGGACCATCCTGAACTTTGCCCAGTTCAGGTGTACTAAGAAGACTCACCAAAGAAAAGTTTGAGGTCAATGAAGTGAGAGGGATGGCCCAGCAATAAAGTCCAATTAAATAAGAGGAGAAGGGGACAAGTCACTTCTCAGCTTGACCGCAGAGGGCAGAGAAAGTAAAGCTCACGAAGAGGCAGCCTGAGGGAAGCCCGAGCGCCGACCTCAGACTGAGTTTGGAATCTAGCTCTACCCCTGATTCTACTCAGGAACGTTTATTGAGCAGATTCTACGGACCAGACACTGGGTAGAGTGGGTGAGATACAAAGGTGGGTGAGGCACGGTCGCGCTCTGTGGGCGTGGGGGTATCTGTAGATACGTGCGTGTCTACACCCATGCGGGGATATCTCCCAGGGTGCTCGAGAAGTTCTGGCGAGGTGAAGTGAGCGAGGGGCCTGGCATATACTGGGAGCTTATGAATAATCTTATTTGTAGCAGACATTTTCTGACAAAAGCAACTGGCTCTGTCTGGCTTTTGCAAAGCCCAGTCCTGCTCGCCCCAGCGGCATTTGAGGCATCCTGGCTGTTTCCAGCTACAGTCGCAGAGGCCGGAGTGGGAGGGGTTTTAGAGATCAGGCCTGCCCTCAAGTGTCAGAGGACCCCAGCCCCTGGTCTGGGGACCAAGCCTCGCCAGGGGTGCAGCCGCCTCACTCCTGGTGACTCCTCCCGTTAGGGGTAAAGCAGGCTCCTCCCAGCAGTGCTGGGGAGCGGGAGGGCCTTCGTGCTGGCACGATATGCCTAGAGGAGCATGAGGGTGTCAGCCTTGCCCTTGAAGCAGAGCAGTGCAAAGGGAGCCCCACAGCTTAGTGGGCAGTCCATGTTGCCCCTTCCCTCAGTTCTCAAGGAGTCGTAAAGAGAGACCCAGGACTTGCTTCTTGTCCTTTCTGAGGTGGCTGTAGGCCAGCTTCCTCCTCCTTCTTGTCAAGCCGGGAGATCAGTAGCCCCAGACACCTGGCTGAGGTCAGGAGGTAGAAGCTTTGAAGACTAGAAGCTTTCTTTCTTTCCTTTAAACAAACAAACAAAAAGGCTTTTTTTTAAAAAAATTGAAATATAGTTAATTTACAGTGTGTCAATTTCTGGTGTACAGCATAATGTTTCAGTCAAACATATACATACATATATTGCTTTTCATATTCTTTTTCACTATAGGTTACTGAAAGATATTGAATATAGTTCCCTGTGCTGTACAGTAGAAACTTGTTTGTCTATTTTAAATATAGTAGTATCTGCAAATCTCGAACTACCAATTTATCCCTTCCCACCTCCTTCCACCCTGATCACCGTTGAGTTTTAGACTAGACGCTTTCTATCAGGAATTCCTTCACATGGAGAGAGACTGATCCCAAAAATGTGGTGGAGGAGTACTCTGATTTACCAGTTCCTTGGGAATATAAGTGAGAGAGAGAGAGAGAGTGTGTGTGTGTGTGTGTGTGTGTTGGGACCCAGGCATGCTGAGTGAAAGCCTTCAGGAAACCCTCCTGGGAGCCAGGCTGAGCCTAGCTGATTCCTGGTTCTGCCATCTGTTATTAGGTTGCATCAGGTGAAACTGCTGATATTCTACCATTTTTGACCTTTAAAAATGGCAGTTTCATTTAATTCAATCCAAAAATTACAAGATCTTAAGTCAGCATCTTGGGCTCTCTGAATCTCAGATTCTTCTCTATAGTGGACTCAAAAGCAGGGCTATCAGGATTAAACGAAATTTGGTTTGAAACTGCTTTATGCAATTTATACTCCCAAGTACCCTTACCAACTTCAAGTCTTCTCGTGTCCCTCCTCTTAAACGTGATCTCATGGAGCAGACTAAGAAGCTGAGTCTGAGAAGCCCATTTAGCAGCAGGGTAATGTGACAGGAAGCTCACTGGTTTGGAAGTCAGGTTGGGAATCTCTCAGGGATCATCTCCTTAATCTCTCAGTTTCCCCATCTCTAGAGTTGGGGTTATTTTCCTTGCTTCTTGGAGTTCTTGTAAAGATTGAAATAAATAATAAATAGTGTAAGTAATGTGTGAAAGCTCCTAGTGTGAGAGCTAGTTTCAATGAGGCTCTAATAAATATATCCCTTTCTTTCCCCTTAGCCTCCCTTTGTAAAAGCAGGGCAGGGGTGAGATGATTTCTGGGGTCCCTCTCAGTTCTTGGGGACTCTAGGATCTGGGCTTTAGTGCCCTTTCCTGCTGGAGGAGTTGGCACTGGCTTTGGTGACCTCTTTCCCCCATCCCACTCTGTCTCCTACCAGTCCCAAAGGACACCTCATCCTTGCATTGCACAAGATTCTGCTGTTGTTACTGAAATTCCAGCAGGTCAAAGTGGAATTTCTCATAAACTTAACATATGAAAATGAGAGATCATAATATGGCCTCTTAGGATCCAGAGGCCATCCTAACATCCCCTTATATAATTTTTTTAAAGTATGATTATTTACAATGTGTCAGTTTCTGGTGTACAGCATAATGTCCCAGTCATATGTCTTAAACACATATATATATATGTCCTATATATCCTCCAACAATATATATACATATATGTATTTGTTTTTATATTCTTTTCATTAAAGGTTATTACAAGCTACTGAATATAGTTCCCGGTGCTATAAGAAGAAATCTGTTTTTTTAATCTATTTTTATATGTAATAATTAACATTTGCAAATCTCAAACCCCCAAATTTATCCCTTCCAACCCCCTTTCCCCTGGTAACCATGGATTATTTACTATGCCTGCAAGTCTGTTTCTGTTTCCCTTGTATAATTTTGAAAGCGAGGAGATCGATTCCCGTGCACGGTGCACTGTGAAAGCCAGTGCAGTAGAGAGGACTTGGGCTTTGAATTTCAGATTGCACTTCTGTACTCTTTCACTTGTTATCCTTGAGCAGAAGTTACTAAACCTGTTTGGTCCTTGGATTTCTCTCGTGGGAATTGAATCTTAATCCCCTGGAGTCATGGGGGTGAAATGAGATGAAAGGAGTGCTGGATGTACAGTATTGGCCACAGCAGGTGGTCCATAAATATTCACTTGTTTCTCTTCACTTATGAGTGTGGAACACTTCATAAGTTTATAAAATACATCTTCATACTTTTAGTCAACTGATTCTCACAACAATACTGTGAAATAGGCTGGGTAACAATTCATTAATAATCACCTTTGCCTGCAAAGAGCATTGATGTCTGGGAGGTGGCTTAGGGACAGGTAGGTCACCCAGTGAGTTAATGGTGGAGCCTGGACTAGAAGCCAGGCCACCTGCATCATAATCTGGAGGACTTTTTACACTGTTTTCTCTTTTACACCCCATCCTGTGGCGTGGAATAGGCAGATGTGTGACCTTGATGCTGTTTTCCTCCTTTGGGTTATGTCAAAGGATCCATTGTTGAGCTTTGGAAGGCCATCGTTTGAGTTCCTCTACATTTAGCTCTGGAATCTTGGACAAGTCACTTAACCTCCCTGAAACCCACTTTTCTCATCTCTAGAATGGGTACAGTCATAGATAGCATTTATTGAGCACTGACACATGTCAGGACTGTTCTAAGTACTTTACGTGGATTGCGCCTTTTAATCCTCCAACAAATGTATGGCTGAAACATGTTACAAGTGAGAACAAATTCTACCTTATTCTGTCTCTCAAAATTGTTGTGAGAATTAAATGAGCTATTGAGTGAGGTGAGGACTTACAAATGGCATTCTACAAAGACAAAGAATTGTAAGTGGTACTTGGGATTTAGCTTCATGGTTCATGTAAATGGTCTCTTTATAGGCATAATTGAGTCTTAGATTATAGTCTTGGATTACAGTTTCATTTAATAATGTTTTTCCCTATGGAAAAGGAGGTCTTTCAAAAATCGAAATGTAATAATTGCTATATCTAAACAGAGAGCACAAATAATTTTGTAATAAATTTTTTCAAAAATTCAGCATCTCTGCACTGACCTTCAATTGTTATCAATTGCTGATTTTTCCACCCAGAACTCGGTTAGATGACAACCTTCTTCTTCAGTCAGAATCTGTTCTTAGCATCAGAAACATCCTAGGATTGAATGTCCATCTACCCCAATCCCTCTTTGCAGTACCTCCACCCTATGTCACTGTCATGGAACCCAGACTGGTTGCTCCTGTGAATGGAGAAATCTGTCCATACCACTGAAGTGTTTGAGGACAGAATGACTTTCCTTGGGCTGGGAGAATAGAATCTTGATTTTAAAAGAGGAGGAGGAAGCAGAGAACTCTAGAGACCTAACATTGTACTCCTTCCAATGGCTGGAGGAAGTCCCCAGTCACCCTTTATCTTTGAGGCCCTTGGTAGCTGCCTCCACCAGTTCTCATGTTCTGGATTCTCTCCTCCTATCTCCCTGTGGAAAAGAACACAGCCTATACCTTCTTCCCTGCTCATTTCTGGAGAAAGCAAGCACAAAGCCTCTCTGTGGTCCTAGGAGTTTTATTGCTAACCCCATAAGGGGAAAGGATGGAGGTAACAAATCGTGGGAAATTTGAATGACATATGCAGCCTTAAGAGTCTCAGAACAAGTATACTCCTTAAATACAAAAGGGTCTTGACTGGTCTCTTCTTGGCTTCCCTCTTTCTTTTTATCTTAGGACAAGCCAAGCCTAAACTCTCATTTTATTTCCAGCAGCTATAGAGAATGCCCCTTGAGCCTTCCAAAGCCAGTAGGGGGCGACAAAGGTACATCTTGATGGTGAGAGAGCGCCTTGAGCAGCATCCAATCAATAAGCACGTGTCTCAGTTGCCGTGCTGCCCCTCTTCTCTGCTCAGTTCTCACGTTATGAATAAGATGATATTAGAACCTGACATGTGATAAGCGATGCGTCAGATCAATAGAGAGAGGAATGATTAACTTAATTAAAGGTGTCTTTTAGACAGCACATCTTCAAATAGGAAGAAGTCACTTGTTGTCTTGGATCACAGCTCACACCAAAACAAAATATCAGAGATGAATTAAAGAGTGAAATTTAAAATATACCAAACAATAGAAGAAAATAAAATATTTACCAAAACTCTACTATGGATAAGAACGGTTTAACACTTAGAAGCAAAAAAAAAAAAAAAAAAAAAAGAATCAACAGCGTTGACTATATAAAAACTAAAACTTCTGTCACTTAAAAATCAGGACAAACAAAACAAAAGAATAATCTTTACATTAGAGATAGTTGTCATAGCACATATGACAAAGTGTTGATATAAATTAATTCAAAAAGCACATTGTGTCCCTAATAAAATGAGAAAGAACACTAACAGAGCTACCATAAATGAGGAAATTCAATTAGGAAATAGGCCTTTAATAAAATGTACAACTCACTAATGGTCAAAGCAGTGAGGTACCATTTCTTTTGCTCACTAAACTAAGAACAACAAAATGTTTGTGATGATTCTGTCCGAAGCTGGTGAGGGTGCAGTTCAGAAAGGCTGTCTTACACATGCGTTACTGTACTGCCCAGTGACAGAGGGACAAACCGTAACTTGGGGACATGCATCAAGAGTCTTAAAAATGTTCATCCCTTTTGGTCCAGAAATTTTACTTCTGGGAACATGTCATAGCAGAAAAATAATTTGGGGACAAGCTATACGCCTAAGGATGTTTCTTTTTTTTTTTTTAACATTTTTTATTGATTTACAATCATTTTACAATGTTGTGTCAAATTCCAGTGTTCAGTACAATTTTTCAGTCATTCATGGACACATACACACTCATTGTCACATTTTTTTTTCTGTGAGTTATCATAACATTTTGTGTGTATTTCCCTGTGCTATACAGTGTAATCTTGTTTATCTATTCTACAATTAGGATGTTTCTTTTAGATTTTAAAATAATGTTTTGAAATGGAAATATGTTCAAAGTTCAACAAAATGGAAATGTTGAAGTATATTTTGGCTATATCCACTTGCTGGACTAGCACATGCGCATTTAAAATGATGGTTGTAAAAACTGGAAAATGGCAAGGCAAAAATAGGGGAGTAAAATTTCTATGTAAAGTATGATTTCCACCATGTTTCAGAATAAAAAGAAAGGTTCTTGGGAATGGGGATTGTTTTGTGTTCTGTAGTTTCCAAAGTATTTATCTTACTATTTTTAATGAACACACAAGTATATGTTTATATGAAAGATGAGCATATATATAAACATGTTATTTCTATATAACATTTATGTATATATAAATGTATACATAAACTTACCATGTATATGATGAGTTTCATATATCTGTATGTATGAAAGAGAAGCTGGTTGTGTCCCATGGAGAGGGCATTATAGGGCCCCCGGTAATGGGCATTTAAGAGTGGGATTCCAAGCACCACGCATGTCTGTGGGGGTAAGATTGCCAATCAGGGTCTTTTCTCTCAGAGGAACTGTCTCCTGAAGCCAAACTCAATTCTGGAGGCTTTGTGAAATCTATAAGAGAAGAGCAAATGATGAAAAATAGTGAGTCTTTAGGATAAAAAAAGTACACATGGACTGTGTTTTGTTTAGAGTCAGATTCTTGGGGCTAACTAACTACCTTTCAAACTCCACAGAGGGTCTTAGTGATGCCTGTGATCCAGGATCCTAGGACCCACTTCCCTCTGTGCTTTCTCTCAAGTCCCTGGTGAGAAAGGGATGGGGAGACTAAGACTCTGGCAATCAGACGTGGGGGGCTAAGGTCACCTGATAACAGGGGCAGAGGTGGGTGGGGACCAGAGCCCTTATGCACGTGAAGGACTGTCTTCCAGGAGTGGGGTATGGAGAGCTGGTTCTGAGACAGGGAGCCCCTTGGCCCCCTGTGCCCCTTGAGCATTTTGCTAGAGCTCCCAGAATACACATTCTAAACATACTCCACCCTCCCTTCCTCTTTCTCTCCTCCTTTCTCCTTTCCTTTCTCCTTCCCTCCTCTCTCTGGCTCTCTTGCTCTTTTTTTTTTCCTATAAAAATATTTATTTAGTCCCTACTCTGTGCTGGTAGTGGGTTAGGCTTTGCCTCCCAGTGCTTGTAGTTTAATGGGGGAAATGGGTGAGCAAATTGGGAACTACAATACAATGCAAGAAGTGCCATGCTAGAGGTAAGAGAGGGCGCTGGGGAGCGGAGAGAAGGAACAGCACCCTGGAGTGGGGGAAGGAGGACCCGGAGGACTTCCTAAAAGAAGATAGCCCATCATGTTCTGAAGGCTATGTAAGGATCAGGCAGGTGAGGAGGTGCAGCTAAGAGTGCAGGCAGAGGGTCAGTGGATATTCTCGTGGGATAATGTGTCTTTGCTGATGAAGGCTGTGTGTGTGTATATGCGTGTGCATTGTGTGCGTATATGTGTAAGGTGAATACGTGTGTGTGAGCGAATATGTGTGCACATGTGTAATATACCAAATGGCCTTATATGCGACCCAGGAGAGGAAGAAAAGAGAATGGGAGAGAAAGGAGGAAGAACAGGCATAGAAAATGTAGCAAAGGGAAGTAGAGAAGAAAGAGGAAGGAGCCGGAGAGCGGGAAGTTGGTTAGAGTTGAATGGGATCATCTGAGTCATCATTCTTGGAAAATTCAAGGGTGAATTCCTGACAAGTGGACTCTTGGAGCTTTCCCTGTGCCTAGTACTAAGCTCAGATATGAAGAAATTGGAGGAGTCCTGTCTCACCATCGCCGATGGTGGAGGAAGGATTACACACAAAGAATTATGCTAAATATTACAAATTTCAGGGCAGAGAGAGCTCAAGGTGGGCTGAAAGAGCCAGGAAAGTCTTCCTGGAAGAGGTGAGTATTGAGAGAGCAGGTCTCAGAGGTGGACCCTGCAGAGCTGGCCGGAGTCCTGCTTGGGTCTGGCTAGGTGAGCTGGGTGGGATCCGCTCTTTCAAGGCTGATGGTGCAGATCTGAATTCCAGGGCTCAGGATGCTGTTGCTGGGAGCTGTTCTACTACTGCTGGCCCTGCCTGGTCATGGCCTGGAAACCACTGAAGGGCCTGGAGTCCCGCATCCCCTGCCCAAGGGGGCCTGCGCAGGTTGGATGGTGGGCATCCCGGGGCATCCTGGCCACAATGGGATCCCTGGCCGAGATGGCAGAGATGGCGCCCATGGTGAGAAGGGTGAGAAAGGAGATCCAGGTAAGAGTAGAGTCTTGGGCCTCCTCCATCACAGACTTCTCCTGAGTGGAGGAGGGGGAGGGCTCCTAGAACAGCACGAGGGCAGCAGTGATTGACTGAGTCCTACGCTCGGGGAAGAAGCGAGCTTTTTGGTGTGGCCTGACGTGGAGTAAAAAAATACACATAGAATGTGTTTTGTTTAGAGTCAGGTTCTTGGGACTAACTATGTTTCAGACTCCACAGAGGGCCTGTGATCTGGGATCCTAGGACCCACTTCCCTCTGTGCTTTCTCTCAAGTCCCTGGTGAGAAAGGGATGGGGAGACTAAGACTCTGGCAATCAGACGTGGGGGGCTAAGGTCACCTGATAACAGGGGCAGAGGTGGGTGGGGACCAGAGCCCTTATGCACGTGAAGGACTGTCTTCCAGGAGTGGGGTATGGAGAGCTGGTTCTGAGACAGGGAGCCCCTTGGCCCCCTGTGCCCCTTGAGGTTTTTGCTGGAGCTCCCAGAATACACATTCTAAACATACTCCACCTTCCCCCTCCTCTTTCTCTCCTCCTTTCTCCTTTCTTTCCTCCTTCCTTCTTCTCTCTGGCTCTCTCTTTCTTTTTTTCCTTCCTGTTCTCTAGGTCTTGCTGGTCTTAAGGGTGACACTGGTGAAACTGGAGTGACTGGGATTGAAGGTCCCCGAGGCTTTCCAGGAATCCCAGGCAGAAAAGGAGAACCTGGAGAAAGTGCCTATGTATACCGCTCAGCATTCAGTGTGGGACTAGAGACCCGGAGCACCGTCCCCAACGTTCCCATTCGCTTTACCAAGATCTTCTACAATCAGCAAAACCACTATGACAGCACCACTGGCAAATTCCACTGCAACATTCCCGGGCTGTACTACTTCTCCTACCACATCACAGTCTACCTGCAGGACGTGAAGGTCAGCCTCTACAAGAGGGACAAGGCCGTGCTCTTCACCTATGACAAGTACCAGGACAAGAACGTGGACCAGGCCTCTGGCTCTGTGCTTCTCCATCTGGAGAAGGGTGAAGAGGTCTGGCTTCAAGTGTATGGGGATGGAGAGAATAACGGGGTCTATGCAGACAATATCAATGACTCCACCTTCACCGGCTTCCTTCTCTACCACGACACCGAGTGAGCACCACTAACTCATAATCTCCACCATGCCAAACGGCCCTAAGTCAAAGGAGAGCCCACAGGTCTTCAATTCATTAGGAGACTGATTTTGTTATCTAGTTAGAGGGCTCTGAACATCTTGCATTCATTCATTCATTCATTCATTCATTCATTCATTCATCAAGTACCTTTATTAAAAAATCATACACTGTGTTCCCAGGACAGTCCTGAAGAAGGCACGTCCCTTGGCCTCAAGGAGCTATTATGAAGTGGTCATAGAAGGATAAAAACATTTACTGGGGAGTTTCACATACATGACAAGATAACCAACTACAGGAAAGTAGCTGACAGTGCTATTCTGTGCCCACTGTTTTCCCTCATGTTCATGCCAGTCCTGTGAAATACACAGGAAAGATACTATTCACCTCTTGAGGATGAGAGAGTTAAGTGAATGCCTAAGGTCACACAGGCATTAGGTGGCAGAGTTAGAAATCAGACCCAGGGCCATGGACTTTTTCCAGTATACTGTGCCCTTTTTAACGAGTATATGGCTTTTTAGGGGATGTTGGTAGGGGTCTCCCACCCAGCTCGCCCAGGGGCCGTTGAATTAGGCTTCACCATGCACTAACCCTTTCCCTGGCAGAGCTTCCTCAGAGAAGGTGCCTCTTTGACTAGGTCCCAGTCCAGGTGGACTATGCAGTGGCCCCTGCACTACCCTGTACTTCCTCTTCTCTGTCTTTCCCCACGCTCTTCTCTCTGGCCCTGAACATCAACCCCATCTCCACATGCTAAAATCTTCCCTGTTCCTCAAGACCACCTGGTCAAGAAGCTTCTCTAATGTGATGTCTCTTTTCTGCAAGCCTTCCTCGCACTCTGTGCCCCTCCACGTGTTACCTGGCTGAGAGTCCTGGGTCTGGGAGACATCCTCCCCCGGGCCAGGGCCAACTGTCCAGAAAGAACGGTGCTTGCTTCATCCTGAGTCCCCTGGCAGGTCCTTGATAAATGCCAGAGACCAGACTCTCGAACCTCACATCTGCCCAGAATTTACTTCATTTCAGTCTCCATATAACCAATCCTTCTCTATAAAAACATTTTCATTTTAGGAACTTCTTGATTTTAAACACCCAGTCTTTGTTCCACTGGATAACTTGAATCTTTTCCACTGAGGTGAGGAGTGACTGTGCTTTCCAGAACACTTAGAGAATTTTCCCTCAAGGAAGTAGCTTGAGCTTGCAACACAAAACCCATGAAGGAATTTGGAAACTGTTTTTACTTTGAGTACCAGCAGGGTCTGGGAAGACTTGGGCCTCTTAAATCTACTCTTATTCTTTTAAGTACAAAAAAAAAAAAAAAGAGAGAGAAGAAAGAAAAAAGAAAATGATAACCGTTTGAGGTGATGGGTATGTTAATTAACTTGATTATGGTGATTATTTCACAATGTATATCATATTAAATCATCAAACTGTACACCTTAAATATATACATTTTTAATTGTCAAATAGTCCTCAAAAAAAGAAAAAAAGTACAGCTGGTTGATGGTGGTAAACGTCCCCTCAGGAGACAACAGCTTGAATGATGCTTTTCAAATTTTTTTGCAAAAGCAGCAAATAGTGTTCTGTATAAGTATAGAAATGGAAAACCTAGTTTTTTGCTTACAGTTTTAAATTCTGAATGATTTCCTTTTATATATGTATTGCTGTTCATTAGGGATTACTATTTCTACATATAAGCTTTGTCTTTTAAAATGCTTGCATGTCATTATTTTCTATAAGTAAAGATACTCTCCAGCATTAAAAGTAGAAGCACTTGTATCGTGTGGCTTTTGTTTTCATTTTTGCAGAAAGACATGGGGTTTAGAAAGGGTTGACAGAGTAAACCTTGTGGTAATCAAGAATCTATTTTGTGAATGACAAAGAACCCAACTCAAATAAACTTAAGCAAAAACAAAACAAAACAAACAAACAAACAAAAAACCATGTCCTCTTGCATAATGGAAAAATACCTCACACCACACCAGCTGGCCAAAAGGATATCCTCTTTCCTGGTTGTTCCCCAGGAGAAGAGAGGAAGCTCTGTCTTCCAGAAGCCCCAGCAACTGTGTCCTTGCATCCCACTGGCTCCGGCTGAGTTGTGCACTCGTCTCTGACCAATCACTGGAGTTAGGATGGAATATACTTATTGACTTAATTGATTATGGCTCAAGCTAGAGAAGTGATATTTTCCTTAAAGCAAAATCTGGACACAGCAGAGTGGGAGAATGGATGGTGAATGCAAAAACAACAACTTCCACAACAAACTCTTAATGTTATGTTTGAATTTTCTCAGGTTTCTCAAAGAGATACTGCTGGAAAATTACTATTGATTTTTTCTAGAACTTCCACAAGTAGCCATGCTCACAGTCCCACATCTGCCGAGGGTGGGATCCTCACAGCACTGGACACGGTGCCACACACACTCAAATCTCTCTGGACCAGGGTTTGCTCTTTGTGGAAACACAGAGCGCCAATCTACACAAACCCCCCTGAGACAAATTGTGATAAAGGTTTTAGGATTAATGTTCACATGATGTCTTCAAGTATAATCATGGAGTCGTCTATTTCTCTTTGATTCTGTCAACTTTTGCTTCATTTTTGGAGCTCTCTTGTTAGATACATACACACTTAGTATTATGTCTTCTTGGTGAATTTACCCTTTTATCATTATATAACGTCTTTCTTCTTCTCTGGTAATTTTCCCTATTATGAAGTCTTCTTTGCCTGAAATTATTATTATAGGCACTCTACCTTTCTTTTGATCACTGTTTACATAGTGTATCTTTTTCCATCAGGTGACTTTAACTCTGTATTGTTCTATTTAAAATGTGTATTCTTACAGACTGTGTGTGGTGGGATCTTTTTTTTTTTATGCAGTCTGAAAATGTCTCTCTTTTATTGCTGTTTAGACAATTTATATTTAACAAAATTTCAATGATTAAATTTAAGGCTACCATTCTGTTTGTTTTCTATTTGCCCCCTCTGCTGTATTGTCTTTCTTGACTTCTTTTGGATCATCGAATATTTACTTATTGGCTCTTCAGCATGTATGTCTTTGTGATATTTTTTAGTAGTTGCTCTAGGGATGACAGCATATATACCTAATTTTTCGCAGTATACTTGGAAGCACTATTTTACCACTTCAAGTAAAATATAGACACTTATAACCATACAGAATCCTTTATCCTACTCCCTTTACATTATAGTCATTTTATATGTTACATCTGTATGCAATGAAATATTACAAAGTTGTATTTTTTCAAAATTATTCATATTTTAAAAATCATACATATTTTAAAGAATTTAAGAGGACAAAAATACTCTATTTATCCAGATATGTGTATTCATTATTTCTTTTGTTTTTTCTTCATTCCTTAAGTTCTATGTTTCCCTCTGGTATAATTTCCCCCCATTCTAAAGAATTTTCTTAGGCAATTCTTTTAGAGCAATTCTGCTGGTGGTGAATTCTCTAAGTTTTCTTTCATTTGAGAATGTCTTCATTTTGCCTACATTCCTGAAGGGTATTTTTGGTGTATATGGAATTCTGAGTTGACAGTTTTTTCCTTACAACACTTTATTTACTTACTTATTTTTCTCCCAGCACCTTAAAGATGTTGTCTCAGTGTCTTCTGAGCGCCATGGTTTCTGACGCGATACCTACAGTCATAGCTTTCCTTGTGTGTAATTTATCCGTTTTTCTTCTGGGTGCTTTCAAGATATTTTCTTTACCTTTGATTTTCAACAGTTTAATTATGATGTGTCTGGGTGTGGTTTTCTTTGCACTTAACCTGTTTGGGATTCATTGAGCTTCTTAAATCTATAAACATATCTCTCACCAAATTTGGAAAGTTTTCTGCCATTATTTCTTCAAATATATTTTGTTTTTCTCTTTTCTTTCAGAGATTCCGATAACATGAATGTTACATTGGCAGACCTCTAGGGTTGTGCTCTTTCAATCTTTTCCTCTCTGTTCTTCTTGTATAATTTCTATTGATTTATCTTTAAGTTCTCCTTCCTGTGTCATCTCCGTTCTACTATTAAGCCTATCTGATGAATCGTTAATTTCAGATATGTGTCTTCCAGTTAAAATTTTTTCATTTAGCTTTTTTTTTTTAAATTCTCTTTCTCTGCTGAGAACTTTTATCTTTCCATTTATTTCAAGAATGTTCATGTTTCCATTTGAGGTCATACTGGGGTTGGCATCTGGTGACTATCTTTTCTCTTGAATATTAGTCAGATTTTCCTGGTTCTTTGTGCATTGAGTAATTTTGGATAGTATCCAGAATATTTTGGATATTATGGAATTCCAAGTTCTGTTAAAATCCTTCAGGGGATGTTGGATTTTTGTTTGTTTGTGTTAGCACATGACTGATTGGCTTAGGTTCAGAGACCAAGCTGTGTCTCACCTTCTAAGGGTGGTGATTCCAATGCTAATTCGGGTCTCAAGCCTTTGCTATGCTATTTGTATCTATCTGTCACAGGCACCACTCAAAGTTTAGTCTGAGACTTTAGTCATTTAGTTTTTGAAGGCTTTGCTATGCTTCTTTGGGTCTGTACTGTATGTCTGTTCTGGGGGTTGAGTCTGGGACTTATGTGGGATCCCAAACAAAATTAGAAGATGTCCTTTCCCAGCTCCTTCCTCTCTAGCATGTCCCTATATTCTCCAGCCCCCAGGGACCCTCCTTTTCCTGGTTCTTATTGGCAAGAACCTAAGGTTTCCTCTGAGTTTTAGTTTCTTGGACTATTGTGTTGTCCTGTGTGACTGAGGCTGTCTTTTGGGTTAAAGCAGCAAGAGAAAAGAAAGAAAGTAGCAAGAATTATCCCACACTATTTGAACAGCTTGGTCCATTTCACTGGTTTCTTGGCCAGAGAGAGAGAGAATGATTTTAGGGGGCAAACTTTAGCTCATGTTGCCACTGCTGCTGTGGCAATGCAGCCCAGTGGTTGGGGCTGATCGCAGGGCAGAGCTAGGAGAGAAAAGAGAAATGTGAATATGAAAAAAAGTGGGATTTCTCTTCTACTCTGTGTCATGCAGGAGTTGCTTTTCTTGGTCTTCTGGTTAGTAAGAGGTGATTTCTCCTGGAGTTTTTCCAACAGTGTCTAATACACAATTCCAGGACTTGGCCTGCCTTCAGGTCAAATCCATGAGACAAAGAGAAAAAAAAAACAAAATCATGTAAAGCTCACCCAGGCTATGAGTTGTTATTCAAGTTTTGACTTTAGTCTTTAATCTGCCTGCTAATATTTACTTTTTAGGCTGTTCAGGTATTTGTTTTTGCATTTTGTCTAGAGTTTTTGGTTGTCATCAGTGGGAAAGGTAGACTACAGTTGGCTTACTCTGCCTTGGCTGATACCGGACATCCCTGTCCCATGATACTTCTGAAGAAGGAAAAAGGGAAGGGACTGAGACATAGCAGGAGCCCCAAGAAGGCATATAAATTACCCTGAAGTTAATGGAAATCAAAGAAAATAAGCCCAATCTTGAGACAGACCACTGTTGAACAAAGAAATTGGTGGGTATCAAGAATTCCTTGATCAAGGGAGTCTGGGACCAAGTAAATTCTTGATTATAACCCCAGTCTCTGATTTTTCCTGTGCCGGGAGTGACTGATGAGAATACATCAGTTGCTGTGCAGAGAATAAAGCAGTCAGCATGACTCCACCACAGGCATCAAAGCAGAAATATTTACCTTCAAATTCAGAAATTTTACTCAAACAGTGCTTTGCTTAGGAATGTTTGGAAATATACTGGTGTTTAGTAAGATTTGGAAAGAATTAGATTTCTTTCTTTTGATCTTTTTAGTGTTCACTCAGGTATTTTACAGCAAGTAAACATGATTTTGAATGAAATTCACTATGTAAAGACCACATTTCCCCCCTCCCAAACAAGTGAAGCAATGAAAATGCAGAGACGACTTCACTTTATTAGTTATATGTGTTTCACAAGATCAGTGTAAGTGGAATTCCAGGGCCAGGATTAAGATTTATGTGCAGCTCAGTTTATGGTTAGACTTAGGGCTGTAAACCGGTTAAGGGTCAGTCTGTGACTGGGTGAAGCAGACAACTTCTGGCTGCTCTTCCATTTCTCCATTTGTTGCGGGCCACCCCTTCAGGCAGCCCTGTGGTCCAATCTGATCCCTTTCTCCTAGAAGCCATTGAATGGATCCAGGCAGGTGTTTGATCCAAGCTAGGCCATCCAGGGTTCCTCCAGGAATATGAATTAGGATAGAAGCAAAATATGTAGCTTTGAGTTTCAGGGGTGGCCACCTACTGCCCTGTAGGCTAGAGATAGAAGAAGCCCAATTGTGGAGAAAAAAACAAGATTAGAGAGAAACAAAACTGTAAGTCTGTGAGAGCGAGAGATCTGTTTCTCAGAAGCTTTCCACCTTTTGGTTCCTGTCCTTCTTGGCATTCAGTTGTACACCTGCCCATGGGTCACATGAAACACCGGTTCCCAGATTTTTGTACAATTTTCTCTTTTAACTTAAGCTGGCTTGAGTTGATTTCTACTATTCGTATCCAAAGGGAACAAGAAGTCAGGAATTAGTCTACAGCTGTGCCCAGGTACCAGACTGAGTTCTTGTTAGGAAGAATCCTTATTAATGAGATAACAGAATTAAGTCATTATACCCCATGAAATCAAACCTAGGATTCAAGTTTCATCTATATTTATTTTATTGACACTTAATTTCTTAGCTTGGAAATCTCTTATGGGCAGAAACTTCCTATTCCATCTTTGGATTAGTTCTAGAGATCATTCATTCATTCAGTGATTTTTTATTGAGTATATATTATGTGCCAGACACAATATTTTTTAAAAATAATGATAATAATAATAATTATCATTTTGAAGTACCTGCTTGAAATACATTATTTCATTTAATCCTTATAACACCCTGTAAATTAAATAGCATAGACCCAATTTCAGACAAGAATAATACTGGTGCTTACAGAAATGAAGTTATGATCCAAAGCTACAACTAGTAAATTGTAGAGCAAAGATTCATCCTCAGAGCTGCCTGACTCTACAGCTCATGCTTGTAGAAAAAATGAACCCCATCTCCCTGGCCCTTTATTCTTTCTAGTTTCAGGACATTTGAAGAATAATGTATTCATACAACCTGTAGCCCTAATGGCAGCAATCCTGTGCATAACAGTAGTGGAAAAACTTACGTTTGAAAAACTGAGTCATTGAATTTGCTATATGACAGAAAGTCTGGTTGCTAAAAGGAAATATGATGAAACGTCTCACTCATCACTCATGTGGACAAGTTTGGAGGACTGCACTGAGGTTCTTTGTAAGTGTGATGCAAGAAAAAATAAAGATCTGACAAAATAGCTTGTTTATGCCAGCTGAAATAGATTGAGTCAATGTTCAACCATTTGCTATTAAAAATACTTCATGGATTAGAGATAGAATGCAATTTCCTTAACATAATAAAGTATAACACATTCAAAACAACGTCCAGCATTACAGTAAAGAGTAGAACATAAAAATGCATCCTCATCAAAACTGGGTACAAAACAAGGCTGACTGCTTCCATTAATCTTACTTAACAATGTCCTGGATGTTCTGTTGCTTTACCTCTTATCTTTGAGATCTGCCTTATTTTATTCATGTTCTTATCAGTCTTCCATAGAAGAGGCACTTGCAGGAAGTATTTTTAAAAATTTTCACTTGGTGTCTATCTTTTTTCCTCCCAGACTGGGTTCTTGGCTCTTACTTGGCACGTTGTGTTTCTCTTGCTTTCCTGTGGTCTACATGACTGATTCTAACTTGCTTGTATTGAATGTGAGCAGGTCTTTCAAGATCTTCAGCTCTCACTAAGACAGTGAGAATGAATTCTCCATTATTTCCATCCCTGACACTTACAGATCTCACCTCCAAGCTACAGGATGGGGCTAAGGTCTTGTTTTCTATTCATTCTCCTGAGACTGAGGGCAGAAAGAGTAGGAGCAGACCTCCCCGGGGGCTGTGTGGCCTTTGTTGAGTAACCTCAGTTTTTACTCTCTTTTCTGAAATGATGTTAATGGTCTCGTACCAGGAATTAATCCACCTTGTTGGCCATACATCCTGTTCTATGGTGGGATACCTCCGGATTCCTCCCACATCCCTGGGGCTCTTCCTGTTTCTACTGAGACCTTGAAGATGGGGCCCATACTCAGAGGAGTGTTTCCTTGGGCTGCTCGCTTACTTCTTGAGTCTGTTTAACTGCAGGTTGGGGAGTATTAGTGAGTGACCTCAGGAATCTGTCCAATCCACTTCTTTCCTGGGTTTGGTCATGGTGGGCAGAAGGGGGCAGTGGGATTAGAAGCTGTGCCTTGCTCTGTCAGAATCTTTTGTCTCCTTCCTCAACAGCCACACTTTGAAGTTTATAACTTGTTGTTACACTCCTTTTCTTATTCTGTTGCTGCTGGTGAATTTTCAGAGGTATTAGCTTTTCCTGCATGTGTGATGATCATCTAAAAGAGCAAACAAGTGAGACAATACAAGAACAAATTAAAAAAAATAATAAGTTATTGGTGGGATTGACAGCTAGCATTACCAGGTGATGAAACATATTATAAAATTATAGTAATTAGGGGGAGGGTATAGCTCAGCAGTAGAGTGCGTGCCTAGCGTGCACAGGGTCCTGGGTTCAATCCCCAGTACCTCCATTCAATAAATAAATAAATAAACCTAATTACCACCCCCCCAAAGAAAAATAGATTTAAAAAATTATGGTAATTAAAACAGAGTGTTCCTGGCATAAGAACAGGCAGATTAAAAAGTTTAATAAGTGATAAAAGAAGATTTATGCATTTCAATTATTTAGAGCAAAGGTGAGACCAGAGAAGATGGCTGAAAAAGACGTCTACTTCCATGATTCTTACAGCTCTCTAAACCAGAGCTAAATTTATTTTTTGCTTTTCTGATGGATATTTATCAAACCCCTCTGTAGTCTGTGATTATCTTGTTTGTGTCACATGCCCACCTTGGTCTAACGGACATATACTCTCTTTGTTCTTAACAATGGAAGGATCAGAGAAAATCTGTGCTTGGAATTAGTTCCACCTGAATCACTTTTGATACATGATCCACAGGAAAGATTGCTTCCAATATGTGAAGAAAGACGGATGGTTAGAGAAAAATACACTTTTTTAAAATAACAAACAAGTATCACTTATATAAACTGAAAAAAAAAAAGGTTTTTAGGAGCAAACTATTACTACCTACCCATTTCCACCCTGACTCTCTCCTCAATGAAGGAAAAAAAGGCATTATTCAGATTTGACTAGTAAGACCAGTATGACTATGTCATTTCTTGCACCTAATCTCAAGATTCACTCAAAACCAGTGAATTAAATAACTAACAAAAAAGCAATAATTCCCATAAATGGAAATGATACATAGTTTTAAAGATTGGAAGTGTCAAACCTAGCAGTAAGGTAAAAAGCTAGTTAGAGGTAAAGCTCATACTAGTGGATAAAAATACTAAGTCCTGAGTTACGACAGGAAAAAATCAAGTTTTGAGTTAAATTGCTGACCCATTCTCAAAAATAAACAAACGAAAGTCCAAATCAAAGTAAAGCAAAACAAAACAAAAACATGAGAGTGGGCATCTCTGCAGCAGCACAGTGTTATGTGTGATGATGGGGATCTGGTGACCATTACACCCACAAGGTTTTCTGCGTAACATTTTCCCACAAAGGGAACTGCTAGTCTAATGCGCGCAGCAGCTGAAGGCTTCTTAGGTAAGTAGGTATTGCTGGAGGCCAAGACTCAGGACAGTCTTAGCCCATGCAAGCATTCATGTTGCTTACTGCATCAGTAGTTTGTTTCTTTTCATTGCTTAGTAATATTCCACTCTAAGGATATAACACAATTTATTTATCCAGCTATTTGTTGGTGACCACTTGAGACTTTTCCAGTATTTGACTATTATGAATAAATCTATTATGAACATTGTGTACATTAACATTGTGTATCTTTTTGTGGACATATATCACTATTTTTCTTGAGTAAATATCTAGAAGTAGAATTTATGGGCCAAATGGTAAGGGAAAATTTAACTTTTTAAGAAAATGTTCAACTACTTTTCCAAGGTAGTTGAACCATTTCATATTTCCACAGGCAGCATATGAGAGTTCCAGGTACTCCACGTCCTTGCCAATACTTATTTTCAGTCTTTTTCCTTTTGCTATTTCAGTGTGTGTGAAGTGAGATTTCATCTTGGTTTTGATTTACGTTTTCCTAATTGGCCAATGAGGTTGAACTTCTTCAGTGTGCATAATGACTCTTTGTATATATTCTTTTGTGAAGTCCCTAATCTTTTGCTCATTAAAAAAAAAAAGACTTAATCTTTTTAAGCAAAATTAAGGAGGAAAGTACAGAGATTTCTCATATACCCTCTGTTCCCAAATATGCATAGCCTTCTCCATTATCAACACCCCCACTAGTGTAATACATTTGTTACAATTAATGAAACAAACTGACACATCAGAATCATCCAAAGTCCATAGTTTACGTGATGGTTCACTCTTGGTGCTGTACATTCTATGGATTTGGACAAATGTACAATAATGTACAGTGCATCCTTTCTATAGTATCATACAGTGTGTTTTCATTGCCCTAAAAGTCCTCTCTGCTCCACCTAGTAATACCCTACCCCAGCCCCTTGGAATCTCTGATCTTTTTACTGTCTCTGTAGTTTTGTTTTCTCCAGAATGTCATATAGTTGGAATCATACAGCATGTAGCATTTTCCGAGTGGCTTCTTTCACTTAGTTATATGCATTTATGATTCCACCATGGCTTTTCATGATTTGATCATTATTTCTTTTTAAGGCTGAATAATGTTCCATTATCTGGTTGTAACACAGTATCCGTTTCTACTGAAGAGTATCTTAGTTGCTTCCAAATTTCAGAAATTATGAATAAAGCTGTTATAAATGTCTGTGTGTTTTGCTTATTTTTAAATTGGGTTGTTTGTCTTATTATTGAGTTGTAAGAGTTCTTTATACATTACAAATACAAGGCATTTTTCAGATATAAGCATCATAAATATTTTCTCCGAACCTCTGGCTTGCCATTTTATTTTCTCAGTGGTGTCTTTTGAAGAGCAAAACTTAAAACTTTTGATGGAGTCCAATTTATAACTTTTTCTTTTGTAGTTTCTTTATATGTTCTGTAACCTTTTAAGAATTTTTTTGCCTATCCCAATGTTAAGAAAAAAATTTCTCCTGTGATTTTTAAATAGCTTTACTGAGATAAAATTTATATACAATACAATTCACTAATTGCAGAGTACTATTCAATGATATTCTAGTGCAAATATCCCCACAATCTAATTTTAGAGTATTTTCATTCTTCCTAAAAGAAACCTGTAATCATTAGCAGTCATTCTCTACTCTCAGTTCAGCCTTATCTCTTATACCTCCCTTCTAGGCAAACAATAATCTACTTTCTCTTTATAGATTTGCATATTATGAACATTTCATGTAAACGGACTTGTAACCTGTGATCTTTTGTCACTGGCTTATTTTCCCTAGCGTAATGTTTTCAATCTTCACCAATACTGTAGCATATATCAGTACTTCATCCATTTTTATTGTGGGGTAATATTCCATTGCATGGATAGAAACCCATTTTATTCACCCACTTAACAATTGAAAGGCATTTGGGTTATTCCCACTTTTTGACTATTATAAAAAATGCTGCTATGTTTGAATGCTTATGTACACTTTTTGGTGTGGGTATGTTCTCATTTCTCTTGGGTATATATCTAGAAGTAGAATTGCTGGGTCAAATGGTATTGAATTTTCAGGACATCTTATAGAGATTTTGTTATAGTTATTCTTAAGTATTTCATGTTTTAAATATTATAATTGGCATTTTTAATCGGCTTTTTTATTAATTTCAATATCCAGTTATTTGTTGCTAGTATATGAAAATATAATTGATTTTTGTATATTGGTTTTGTATTCTGTGACCTTGATAGACTCACTTACTAGTTCTAATTGTTTTTATTGTGGACTATCAGGGATTTTTTGTCTACAAAATCATGATCAATTTTATTTTTTCTTTTCTGATACATGCCTTTCTTTTATTTTTTTTTCTTCCTTTATTGCATTAGTACAATGTTGAATAGAACTTGGAAGAGTGCATTTCTTTGTGATTTTAGTTAGAAAGCATTCACTCTTCTATTTATAGTTTTCTGAGAGTTATTATTTTTTAATCATGAATGAGTGTTGTGTTTTTGCAGATTTTTTTTAGGGGACAGGAGATCTTTTAAGATAGTCATATCATTTCCCTTCCTTTCTCTGTGGATGTGCTAAATTGCATTGATTGATTTCCAAATGTTAAACCAATCTTTCTTCCCTGGAATAAACCTCATTTGATCATGTATATACTTTGTATATTGCTGAATTTAGTTTTGTTCCCAAACCAAACTTAGGTCTGCTTGCCTGTGTTCAGTAAAGCTGGACTACTAACACTGGGTTGTGGTGGAGGAAAGTGCAGCATTTATTGCAAGGCCCAGCAAGGAGCAAACATAGCAGCCTGGGTTGCTATAACAGAATGCCACAGACCAGGTGAGTAAAACAATAGAAATTTCTCTCTCACAGTTCTGGAAGCTGGGAAGTCTGAGATCAGGGTGCGATCATGGTCTTCAGGTCTGGGGAGGGTCCTCTTCCTTGTTTGCAGACGGCTGTCTTCTCACTGGGTTCTTACATGATGAAGAGAGAGTAATCACCTCCCTTCTGTCTCTTCTTATAATGTCGCTAATCCTATTCATGAGGACTCCACCCTCATGACCTAATTAATTCCCAAAAGGCCTCACTTCTAAATACCGTTAGATTGAAGATTTAGGCTTCAATATACGAATTTTTAGGGGGACACAAACATACAGTCTATAACAGGGTGTCACAGGGACTTATTTGGATAAAGTTTATACCTAGAAATGAAATGTATTGGCAGATGTGGATAGAAATCGGGCAAAATGCCTGCCTATTTTGGAGAATGGTGTCAGGGCCCAAGCAACTTGGAAACCTCAACTCTGGGCTGGTGTGTCTGTATTAATTACAGCCAGAAAATGGAGACGAGAAGAATGCCTCACAGATTCACGAATGTGTTTGAATGATGTTACTAACAGTAAACTTTATAAAATCCAGGCTTATGAAAGCTTAACTGTTTTCTATAATTTGAGCTTGTAGAAAACTTCCTTAATATTCTGCTGCTGCACACACACAGCTGTTGACCAACTGAGGTCTGGCAACGGGTGAGTCAGTATTCAGCTGAGAGTTGAAGTAGCAGCTGTTTCTCAGATTCACACATTCCCTTTGACTTACTGGCAGCACGATATTATCTGGTTCATAGTCTTGCTTGCTTGGCAGACACACTGATTTTTAGTAAATACGAATACGTTAAATTTGAGCCTGCATAACAAAGACCTTACTGTCTCCCTTACTCATGACAAAATTACAGCCACAAAAAAAGGAAGCAAGAATTCTGGTATTCAAATGAAGAAAAAGTTCTATTGAGTTGTTTTTCCACACTGGAAAACTTTCTCTCAGAGAATTATTTCATGATGGATGATTCTATGAGGAATGATTTACAATGCTGTTCATGTCTGCATGCCAAACTGGTTTCAATGGGGAGTGTTTTCTCTGGAAAATGGAAATTGTGACCCAGTCCAGGCAACAGCATACTCCCTGTCTTCAGTAATGAAGGGAAGGGACATTGGAATGCAAGCATAGTAGAGATTTAAGATATTTTAAAGTAGTAACCTGATCAGTTAAGAGACAAAAATGTCCCTGATGTCCCAGCTACAACAAAAGAAGGTACCATTGCACCCCATCTATTCCTATTATAGTGCAGTGTCATTAAAAATGCACATTTATTGAGAGAGATGTGTAGGGAGTTATGACCCTCCCGGTGAACATGAGAACCAAGATGTGAATCTGTTGTATCCTTTGCTGGTCTTCATTATCTCTCTGGGACATGAGCTTCTCCCCTGGCTAAGTATTATCCATTGTCTAAAGATGGATATTATTTCTTCAATATAGCCACTGACACAAGCCAACTATTTTGGATCTACTCAAAATTCTTAAAAAAGGATTGTAAAGGGTAATTTTGATGAATTTGGCTATTGCCTTAAGCACTGTGACAGAGACTACTGGAACTCACTAATATCTGCATGCTTCTCCATATCTCCCAGTCTCCTTGTAGTTACCTTGGACCCATGACTAGGTCTGGCCAGTGGAATGTAAGCACAAATGGGTGCCACTTCCAGGCTGAAGTAATTAAGTATCTCATGTGCCTTCCCACACACTGTGTTCCCCTCCATAGTGAGAGCAGAGGCCAAAGGGTTAATGATGAATGATGATAGTCACAGGATGAAGGATTCTGTATCCCAGAGCCACCTTTTGGAAGACAGCCTCTATGGAGAGATCCCCAAGTTACATCAGACTATGACATGAGTAAGTGATAAAGCTTTATTAAGATTTATCATGCTATGAAATTTTAGGGGTGATTTATTACTGCTGCTGACATTTTTTATTCCTTTAGTCTCCCACTTCCCACCTCCACTGTCACTCCCAGGTAAACTCAATACTCCAACCACGTTTCCTAAAGATGAAACACAGCAGGTCCCTGAATGCAGTCCTGGAAACAAACATGTAATCATCAAATACCTGATACCAAGGTTTTTTGTTCAAACGATCAGTTTCAACTTTCTCATTAATTTGGTAAAAAGATTTATCCTGATAAAATGTGATCTTTAAAATACTCTATGTATTATTTGGGGGATCTAATATGATAATATTTTCTGATTCCTGATTTATAAACCTAAATTAAATATATCAATTTCATTGTGTTCTGAAATTAGTACTATGGTTTTTGGATGTCTCTTAGATATATTTGAGAAACCTTGTGTTCTTCCTAGGCTAGAAGGCATATATAACAACTATACATGTTACATAGTCCTGAAGTATAAAACAGTGACATTATGTCCACTCATCCATTTATCCACTCAACAAAAATGTATTGACCATCAACTATTATGCAGGAACTGTGCTGTCCAATTTAGCAGCCACTAGCCATGTGTGGCTTTAAAATTTTTTTTTAATTTAGATTACTCTAAATAAAATAAAAATAAATCAAAAATTCAGTTCTTTAGTAATATTAATCACATTTCAAGTGCTTAATAGCTACATGTAACTAGTAGCTATCTTATTGGACAACACAGAAGAACATTACCATCATCCAGAAAGCATTTATCTAGAAAAAAGGTAGATACAACACACATAATTTTCCTTAATGTAATAATTGTTCCCATAAAATTAATAAAATATGCTTTAGGTTGCCAGAGAGCTAAGGAATTCTGTGTTTTGGAGATAACATTTGAACTTGGTCTTAAAAGATAAGAAGGAACTTGCTACATTCCAGTAAGAGTTTCGAGCAGGTACAAAGTTGAAAAAGGATAAATGGGCTGAAAAGGCAAGGTTTAATATGATTGGGGAGAAACATACGTAAGAGAAAAGAGCAGAGATGAGGTTAGATATGGCAAGAGCTGGTGGAGTGTTTGAATGTCCTCTTTTGGTGATGGGAGGCCAAAAAATCTTCAAAGCATGTAGAATAACATCAGCCTGGCACTGTATGAAGGTCACTTGCTGGCATTATTGATGTTGAAAGACCAGACTGGAGATCATGAGTCCCAGAAGGTGAAGACAAAAGCAGTAGTAACTGAGCTGAAGAAGAAAGATTCAGTTTTAGAGATATTTTTATATTAGATTTATTAAGTTTGGCTATACCTAATTATAGACTAACTTCTCCTGCTTAACCGTCTGGAGCCTTGGAAGGAGCCAGGTGAAAGAAGAGTATGAGTGTGTGTTGGGTGTGGGTGGGTGTCTCACCTCTATTCACAGAGGATAAGCAATCATTGGGTTTGGCACACTTATCTATCCTGACACATTCAGGCTGTGCTCTTGAGGGAGTGGTGTGTATATCAGTTTATTCAGGGAAATCCTCTGTGTCCTTCTTAACATTGGGACGTTTGAAGTTGCAATAAGGCCACTTCCTCCTAGGAATTCTCTTTTACTAAGGAGAATCTTCAGATGTCGCCTCTGTGTTGAGAATTACTACCTCTTGATGCATTTATTTGTTTATCTTAAATTTCCATAGTATACTCTGAGTTATTTTAACACAGGGCTATCTATATGTCGAGGGATGATGATATGAGTAGTAGCGAGTGAGGAATTTAGAATTTATGGAAGCATGAGCCTGATAAAAATGTCTTCTAAGGCTGATGGGTGCTGGTTGGTGAAGCACTTTGCGGGTAGATCACTGCTGCTAAGAGCCTTGATCCCCAGTTGTGATGAGATTTCTGATTCACTTTTCAGTCTATCCAAGTAAATTTT